ACTAATTATAGATTTATAAAACCTATATCTTAAAATTCTAAACCCTAAAAAATGTTTTGACTCCTAAAACTCCCTAAACCCTCATAACTAAACCCTAATAGAACATAATTAACTCAAACATAAATGATATAAAGAAAAAATAATTTTGAAAAAGTGGCATTTTTGTACAGATTTCAAAAGTGTGGCATTTTTTGAAATTTCTCTTTTTTAAATCTTTACTAAAATACCACTTTTTCAAAATTATTTTTTCTTTATATTATTTATGTTTGAGTTAATTATGTTCTATTAGAGTTTAATTATGAGGATTTAGGGGGGTTTATGGGTCAAAACATTTTTTAGTGTTTAGAATTTTATGATATAGGGTTTAAAAATCTTTAATTAGTGGTATTTTTGCAAATGAACACCCTAAGTGATATTTTTTGCAAATGTGCACATAAAAATTAGTTTTTTTGCCATTTCCCCTCTTATATACTACATACATGTGTATGTGACAATGTTTTAAGTTAGCTTTAAAAAAACATTGTCTTAATTTTTTATAAACGCTTGAGAAATTTATTGAAGAATCAAACTTTGACCAAATTTTGTTTTAGTCGATAAATGGTAAAAATATTGTGACTATTTACTTACCACTGGTATTAGTCAAAAAAATTTGATCATATTTCGACGAGTTTAAATTTTCATAATATTTTGGCCGAAAATTTGTCAATAAACATTTTGACCATTTTACTGGTAAAAAATTGGTAAAAAATTAATGTGTTTTCTTGACCAATTTTCAACAAATCTTCTTTGTCGCAATATTTTTACCATTTTTTGACAAATTTATGAATCCGTTAAAAATTGGTCGTAAAATTTCGACCAGTCTTTGACTTTTATATTTCGTCATTTTTTTGACTAGTTTATAATAAAAATAAACATTCGTTTAAAATTGGTCGAAAATGGTCAAAATAATTTCTGATCACAAAAAAATTGGTCAAAATTTGATATGTTTTCTTGTAATGAAATCAATAGAGCAACAACCACTAAAAACAAGCAAAAAAAAAAACCCACTGAAAACAACATATTCAAAATAATGTTTTTATTTTGTTGGTAAATAGTTTGGTTATTTTCCTTTATCAAACAACATTTTAAATGATTTATTTTTTCTCAAAAATACCAGAAAACCCTTTTTAAAAACTAAGCAAAAAAAAACCTTTCAAAAATACTAAGCATGGAACCTTTTAAAAAGCAAACTCACAATTGTATATGTTATGGGTACTCAAAATTTGTTTCCAAGGAATTTGTTTACAAAATAGTAATATTTTACGAAAAATATGGTACAAATTCACGAAACTTTTACAAAAATATCTCGTTATATCATCAACAAATTTTGATGTTATCTTTTCAAATGATTGGCAATCGATCAAATTTAACTATATCTAGCACGAAAAAAGGTTGTACAGACGATTCCACGACGATAAGTCTCTTTGCAATGCACCACAATCACGACGGACAACTCTACCCGTAATATACTAGAACCCACAATAAGCTTTCCATCCATAATATACAAGAAAGTAAGTGTAAGATAAAGCGTTAAATTTTAATTGACAACAAATTTAGTTTGAGTACAATCTGTGACATATTGCTCATATCATCTCTATATCCCTTGAACTCATATGTCTAGCGACTTTTCGATCTTTTTGAAAAATAAAATGTAAAGGTGTGTAACAAAGGCAGCATAATCCAAACAGAACAGCCATCATCCACATGATCCCCTTGGACAACGCCTCGGCCTCACTACCAGAGTCTTTAATATCATTAATTCCTTTTGAGCCAAATCCAAAAAGTTTCTCTGACATAATCCCAAACTAAGGCGCTCCAAATGACGAAAAAGAAACTTCGAGTGCACGATCAAATGCATAGACCATGGTTTGATGCGTAGGAGGAACAATCTCAGCTAATATGGGAGAGTTAATTGCTGGTCCACACCAAGTTATGGTGAGACCCATTAGAAAGAGAGTGACCATGAAGATGTAGTAACTGTTGATGGAATGTGGGATTATTCTTAGAAGAATAATGGAGAATATAGCTCCCATGAAAACGCTGAATTGTGCACAAATACTCTGCCTGAGTTTGGAAATATACGAGACATTTTGTCCGCAACTATTCCTCCGACCAAAGATCCTATTGCTTGTCCCGTGGTGAATATCCCGTTCAGAGCCGCGGTTTTATTATGATCAAATCCTGGAAAAAAAAACATTTTGAGAATTAAGACACACGCATGTTTTCTTATTTCACTTGAAATCATGTTTTATAAGAATGTAGATAAATCAAACTACTAGTCTACTATTGTTCGTTAATATAATGTATCATTGAAATACGTATATTATCTTATAAAATGAATATTACTATCAATATTTGCTGACACATAAACCTATTATTTAGTGCAAAATATGAGAATGGATGCATACCAATGAGTTCGAACCACATTGTCCAGAAAACCATTGCATTCCATGGAACCAAACCCACTATTCCCTGCAATAAGATGATCTGAAATGTCCGTATCTTGGTTACATCTTTTATGGCCACCCACGATTCCATCGTAACCGAGCTCATATTCTCCATTGTTGCAACATCATAGTTTATCCCTTTTTGAACCATAAGTTCATTTCTGCAAAACCGCATGACTAATTCAAAACTAATCAAAAGATAGTAATAAAAATAAGTTTTTTTCAAGCTCCACGAGAGGGGCTTGTAACAGTACATACATATTTGTAGTCATATTTGAGAACCAGGATTTGTATTATATACCTTTCATGATCATGAGAAACGAATCTGATAGTTTTATTTTTCCTTGGATCAGTGGCAAAGAGAAAAACAAGAATGCCGATCACCGCACTTATTGTTGCCATCAACATAAAGGCGCAGCGCCATCCTGGGATCCCCGAGAAATCATGACCAGCCATGACCGTTGCAATGACGGTTCCACCTATAGCTCCAACTGTCCCAAAAAGATTCCATAAACCAAAACCAAAACCTCTCGCACTATTCTTAAAGCTATCCGCAATTATCGACTGAAGCACCGGATAAACAATTGCATGTCCGAACCCATTGACCGCTACACCAAGAGTAACCTAGTCCAAGAAACAATAACAAATCCCAATCAAACATATCTAATATTTTAATAACACTTAGGTCATTATACATGTTTTCATGGTCCTTATTTGGAACTTCCATAGTATTTTAAGAACTTAGAAATTTGAAGAAGACAAGTAGTTTAGTAGTTTGTGTTATTGTCGTTGTTGTGTCACTATCTAGTTCAAATCCGCATAATGATGGTCATATTTTTTTTGTTGATCGACAAGAAAAAAAAATTAAAAAGTTTCATTATAAACCAAA